GAAAGAAAGGTAGCTATTTTCAAATTTTATAGCTTATACGCTGTGCAAAAGAACAAAAAAAATTAGATGGGCCTTTGACGGTTAGGGTGTTCCTTTGCAGAGCAAAATGCCAAACTTAATATGACTATAAAAAAAAGAATTTAAATGGATGCCAAGGAGAACCTCAAGGCAGTCTGGAGTGGTTGAGTGCTCACTGCAGGCCCAGAATGCTGGTTTGCTCTCTGATTGGGGGGGGGGAGGACAAACTAGATTTTGAGGAATAAGAGTGGAGTTTCTGGAAAACAGCTGACAGAATAGAATGACTGGACCTCGATTTTGCTTGCTGGATAATTCACTTAGTGAGAACACTCCTAGCAGACCTTGCTGCTAAGCAGGACGTGAGGGGGTGTTGCAGAGGGGTGGGGAGAGGCTGGGGAAGGGCATCCTCAAGCCACATGTGAATTGGGTGGTCCCTGGTGCAAGGCTGCACACCAGAAGGCCAGGAGATGAGTGGATGGCAAGGGAGGGTGCAAATAATAATAATAATAATAATAATAATAATAATAATAATAATAATAATAATTATTATTATTATTATTATTATTATTATTATTATTAGTAGTAGTAGTAGTAGTAGTAGTAGTAGTAAAGTTGGAAGGGACCTTGGAGGTCATCTAGTCCAACCCCCTGCTCAGGCAGGAAACCCTATACCATTTCGGACAAATGGCTGTCCAGTCTCTTCTTAAAAACTTCCAGCGTTGGAGCATTCACCGCTTCTGGAGGCAGGTTGTTCCACTGGTTAATTGTTCTCACTGTCAGGAAGTTTCTCCTTAGTTCTAGGTTGCTTCTCTCCTTGATTAGTTTCCACCCGTTGCTTCTTGTCCTGCCTTCAGGCACTTTGGAGAATAGCTTGACCCCCTCTTCTTTGGGGCAGCCCCTGAGATACTGGAAGACTGCTATCATGTCCCCCCTCGTCCTTCTCTTCATTAAACTAGACAACTACCCAGTTCCAGCAACCTTCCCTCTCTTTTCTGCCAGATCCATCTTTCTGTCTGGCTCTCCTCTCCAATAAACTTATTTGTTCCAATATCTTTGTTCCAATATCTCAGGGGCTGCCACAAAGAAGAGGGAGTCAAGCTATTTTCCAAGGTGCCTGAAGGCAGGACAAGAAGCAACGGGTGGAAACTAAGCAAGGAGAGAAGCAACCTAGAACTAAGGAGAAACTTCCTGACAGAACAATTAACCAGTGGAACAGCTGGCCTCCAGAAGTTGTGGATGTTCCATCATTGGAGGCTTTTAAGAAGAGACTGGACAGCCATTTGTCCGAAATGGTATAGGGTTTCCTGCCTGAGCAGGGGGTTGGACTAGATGACCTCCAAGGTCCCTTCCAACTTTACTATTATTATTATTATTATTATTATTATTATTATTATTATTATTATTATTATTATTATTATTATTATTATTATTATTATTATTATTATTATTATTACAACCTTCTTCCCAAAGCAGTTGCCATGTTTATTCCCAGCTTGGATGAACCAGGATGAAGACTTTTCTTCCAACAGTGCTTTTTACACACACAAAAAAAGAGCTTTCTTTACGAGAGTTACAGCCACCGCTATACAACAATAGTTTATAGTTTGCAGCCGAAAACACTCAAAAAACTAAAGCTATTTTTAAGAGACAAATGGTCAAAACAGTGTGAGACCACTCAATCTTTTAATACTCCCGTCCCAAATCTTGTAAGGTTTTGAGTGAGAAACCGAAATATTTAAAACTTGGGTGGTCTTGTAAGATTTTAAGTATCTTTTTAAAGATTTATTCTTGGCAGCTTCACAGGAAACTCAGTTGAGGTCCTCCATAATCCCCCTGCCTACAGGTTGGAATTAATATTCAACCATTGTTAAAAAGCTTAGGGTAAAAAATAAATTAGCAGCTGGAAATAAAAAGCAATTTTATGCCGTCATAAATGTCTTCATGTGCTGCAAATTACAGCTCTCCTAAGGCAAGGATTTTGCAGAATAAGAGACGTGAGGGTGAATTTCCCAAACAATCCCTATTTCAAGGACCCCCTTAGCCTTCCAGAGGGGATGTACTAGGAATCATGAAGAAAGTGGTCCTTTGGAGACCAAAATCAATATCTTAACCCAGGGGTCTTCAAACCTGGTCCTTTTATGACTTGTGGACTTCAACTCCCAGAATTCCTCAGCCAGGGACCTTGGAGGCTATCTAGTCCAACCCCCTGCTCAGGCAGGAAACCCTATACCATTTCAGACAAATGGCTGTCCAGTCTCGTCTTAAAAACTTCCAGTGTTGGAGCATTCACCGCTTCTGGAGGCAGGTTGTTCCACTGATTAATTGTTCTAACTGTCAGGAAGTTTCTCCTTAGTTCCAGGTTGCTTCTCTCCTTGATCAGTTTCCATCCGTTGCTTCTTGTCCTGCCTTCTGGCGCTTTGGAGGATAGCTTGACTCCCTCTTCTTTGGGGCAGCCCCTAAGATTTTGGAAGACTGCTTTCATATCACACATCACATGTGAAGCAATAATGTTTTTATGTTGCTTATCCTGCTTGTTAAGCCTGTTCTTAACGTGCAGCTGATACTTTGCGTGGCTGTTCCCAGATGGGATCTCTGGGTGCGACATCTTCAAGTCCTCCATCTTGTCTGTCATCCTGAGCTTTGCTCTTAGAAATCACATTGCACACTCACAATCTGGTGATCACCTGGCAGAAAAGAGTGCTTGGTTCTTTAGGGGAGTGGTCTAGCTCACAAGTGGGCTGGTGTGCTGGTCTTCTTCAGTCATAGGTTTTAGATGTAGAATCATAGAATCATAGGGCGGGAAGGGACCTTGGAGGTCTTCTAGTCCAACCCCCTGCTCAAGACAAGGAGACCTTATACCAGTGATGGCAAATCTTTTAGAGACCGAGTGCCCAAACTGCAACCCAAAACCCACTTATGTATCATCGGGTGCTGGGTGGGCGTGGCCCATTGGGTGGGTGTGGCCCATTGGGTGGGCGTGGCCCATTGGGTGGGCATGGCCCATTGGGTGGGCGTGGATGCGATAGTAACGGCAGACTGGGTGGGACTAAAAAGTTCAATCAATCAATTTCAACTTTGCAAGATCTTTTTTTTTTCCGCGAGAAGTTGAAATTGACTAATTGATTGAACCTTTTTTTTTTGCACATGGCGGCGGAGGCCTAAAGCGAAAGGGCTTTGCGTGCCACCTGTTGCAAGCGTGCCATAGGTTCGCCACCACGGCCTTATACCATCCTGGTCAACTGGTGGCCCAATCTTTTCTTGAAAACTTCCAGTGAGTGGGAATTACTGTATTATGTCAGGCTTTTTTTTTTTGCAGAAATGTTTTAAATTTTCAGGTATGTAGAGAGTTTGCTTTGATTTTTTTCACTTTGGAAAGAATAGTATTCTTTCCCACCAAGAATAGAGGATTAGAGAACATCCATTAGCGGAAAAATAGGATTTGCATGTTTGAAATCTTAGATTGCTTCCCGGTTAAAAAGATTTTAACACAGAATTCATTTGGCTTTAAAAAAGTCCGAAAGTAGGCTTTGTTACTTTCCATGATGGAGTTTGGAAATTGAGTATTAACCAAGAGGCTTTAGTGGCAGATGAACATGAATGAATTCAAAGCAAGGGGTTTTGACCCCTGAATTCATACTTAGTTGTGTCCTGTATTTGCATAATACCTTTGCTTAGAGCACAAGGTCACAAATCTTTACAAGACACCGGTCAATTAGATTTAAATAGCTGAATTTTAATCCTCCAAGCCTATTAAAGCAATGATATTTGGGCTACTATGTTCAGCAGAGCTAATTATAGACACATACTTGCTTCCTGGGTGAAATAATTAGGGATGGTAAATGGTTAAAAAAGAATCTGTGATTCAGATAGGTCTCATGAAGAACTGCTATCACTTGAGATGGTTGTCCTTTTCTTAATGAAATTGAGTTCAAGGACTCTTAGTTCTCACCTTTCCACAGTGGGCTTCTAAACCCACATTTCCTATCTATCCCTCATACTGACCTCCCCTTGTTTAATTTACAGAATGGTGAATTTTATACTAATGAGACAGCGTGAAAGAAGCATGGAGCAAAATCGTGATCTGTACGGCTGCTGCTTCCTCATTTAATAAGTTCCCTGCAAAAAAAAGCAGACCCTCAGCCAATGTACAGTATCACAAACGCGGCGTGACTGATTTGCAACACCCCACAACCCATTACTTGCAGTTGTGGGTTGTCTTCTACCTCAGCAGTGGTGCTTTCAGCTGGGCCTTACGTAAGAGCAGCAGGTTCAGATGTGATCCAGAGCTCCAGGCTAAAATATTTTCAGGACGGTGGGGGTGGTGAAATTGCGTTGAGTTAGTTAATACAGGCAGTCCTCGACTTAACAACAGTTCGTTTAGTGACCGTTCAAAGTTACAATGGCACTGGAAAAAGTGACCTGTGACCATTTTCACACTTAACGACCGTTGCAGCATCCTCGTGGTCACGTGATCAAAATTTGGACCCTTGGCAACTGACTCGTGTTTTCGACAGTTGCAGTGTTACGGGCTCAGGTGATCAACTTTTGTGATCTTCTGACAAGCAAAGTCAGTGACTCTTGAGATAATGCGACCGTCATAAATACACACCAATTGCCAGATGCCTGAATTTTGATCACCGGGATGCTGCAACGGCCATATGTGTGAAAACTGGTCATAAGCCACGTTTTTTCCAGTGCCGTTGTAACTTTGAAAGTTCACTAAACAAACGGTTGTAAGTCAAGGACTGCCTGTAATATGAAGAGAGCACCAAATTCCTTCTGTAAGCCATCATAGTTGGGGGGGGGGAAATTGGCACATTTCTTAGAGATATCTGAAATTGTTTGCAAAGAAGAGTGGTGACCTCGTGTTCATAAAATGGAATGGGTATCTATGGTATTGAGTTCACAGAACTAGCCAACAGGGGTTTATGTTATCAGCTAGGGGCACCTGTATGATGATGGTTATGATGACAATGTTATCCATTCAGTCGCGTCCGACTCTTGGCGATTCTATCGGCCAGATCTCTCCACATCTATAGGCACATGTGTGCCTGTAGGATGTGATCAAAAAGGTCCAGATGGCAGTCCTAGTGGTACAATCCAAGATTTGTCTGTTTGATATATCTGTCATGCGTGCCATATGCTGTATGTTTTTATTTGTATGCATATATAATATATGTTTTAATTGGTGTGTAGTTTGCATTGTGGATAGCATTCAATTTCATTGTGAGAAAAACACAACACAATATATTCTAATTCTAATATACATATATAATTCTAATGTACATAGAAAACAGGCAGAGCTTAGAATAGATTATGCTGTTATGTTTGCTAACTGCATTTTTTTGGGGGGGCGTGCCATGCTGATAACGCCTGCACCCACGGTGTGTTATTAGCCAACATTAACAGTTTGCATATGTGATTGGTACAGTCAAAATAGAAGAGTACTTACGCTATTTTAAGGGGAATATGGAATGGGAAAGCTCTCTGTTTTTAATGTTATAACTAGTCCTGTACCAAATCCACTAAATGAATGAATACATAATGATATCTGAGCTCTTAAAACTCCAGGGCCTTTTAAACTCTGTGTACTTGTTAAGAAAAATAGATTTACAAGCCTAAACTACTCGTTGTGCAAAAGGCCAGAATATTTGACTCTAACAAAAATATTAAGCAGTCAACTGCGTTCTTTTCCATTTCTGTGTTTTTTTATAAGCACAAAATAGTTTAGAACTATGACAAACAGTTGGAAGCGTCAGAAATCTAACAGACCACGATTCCCTTTTGTTCTGTCCTTAGGAGAATCTTGTTCACATACCTATCTGCGAAGATTTAACTCCAGGATCCGCACCCAGGATCTGTTTTGCCTCGTTTCACAAGGACGGCATTGTTTCAGTAAGTGAGAGTTCTTTTATCTTTTTCAGGGTTTGCAAATAACTCACAGGCAGATGATACAGCAGAAACCAAACGCATGACTTCGATTCTTCAAATGCATCTGGCTGAGGATACGCAGCATAGCTGACGATAGAAGCAGAGGGGTCAGACATTTTCCCAAGTATCAATCTGTTGCCAAGGATAAAATCTAAAAAAAAAAAAAAAAGGAAAAAAAGAAAAAGGAAAGCAGCACAGTACACCAGATTGCAAAGGCAAATAACTACAGTATTATCCATTTAGCAAGTATTGGCACAATTATTCCTGACTGATACGTTTGCATTGCAGTGGTTTGATGCTGGTGAGAAAACTAACAACCAATCAGTAGTCTAGTGTTACCAAGTAAACATCTCCATGTGGGAGTTAGGATATTGTGCTGAAGAAGAGTTTATAGTCAGAAAGACTGCATAACAGTTACATGGGTTAGTTTTCAAAAAAGATTAGTCCTACATAGGCAATGTACCGTATTTCCCCGAAAATAAGACTGGGTCTGATAATTAACTTTTACTCCACGCATTAGGGCTTATTTTCCGGTTAGGTCTTATTTGGGGGGAAATACGGTACTAAATGCGTCCGTCTGGCACAGTGGTTCTCAACCTGTGGGTCGGGACCCCATTTGGGGTCGATCGACCATATCATGGGGGTCGCCAAGCAAGGCTATACGCCATTTTTTTTTGTCCGCCATTTTTTTTTGTCCGCCATTTTTTCACCTTTTCCGGTGGGTGCCTTACCTCCCTTGAGCTGGGCCAGCTGGTGGTCGGCCTGCTCCGTCTCTGCCGCTTGCCAGCTACGCCTCGGCCGGCGCAGGGGGCGGAACCACGCATGTGCGGCGCTCCCGGGCAGGGAAAGTCCTCGACTTACGACCGGTTGGGTAGTCCTCGACTTACGACCGGTTTAGTCCTCGACTTACGACCNGTTAGTCGGTGGTAGCCTTTTTTCAGGCTAATAAATTTTACTAAAAGGCATAATCTTTTGAGCTATAGCTCACTTGCATGTGATGAAATGATCTGAAGCCCACAAATGTATGGCTTTTAATATAGCTTGAAATGTGTAAGATTGCAAGTACTGCTCTTAATAAGAATAGGGCAGGGGTAGGCAACCTTGGCTCTTTTATGACTGGTGGACTTCAACTCCCAGAATTCCTGAGCCAGCCACGCTGAGGGGAAAGGGAGAGGTTTCCAAGCTGAGCCAGGCTGGCTCAGGAATTCTGGGAGTTGAAGTCCACGAGTCATGAGGGGGCCATAGTTTCCCCCATGCTGGCTCAGGAATTCTGGGTGTTGAAGTACACGAGTCATAAAAGAGCCAAGGTTGAAAAGCCCTGGTTTACAGAATCAGCATGTTGTCCCCAACAATCTGAGTCCTCATTTTTACCGACCTTGGAAAGATGAAATGCTGAGACAACCTTGAGCCGGTCAGGATCGAACTCCTGGCAATGTGAGCAGAGTTAGCCTGCAATACTGCATTCTAACCACTACACCACCACCATAACAAAAAAGATGGATGGGTAGAGAGCAGAGAGCAAAGCAGGGTTGGGTGGGGGAGTTTAAGTCTACCATCTCCAGTGTGGAACTCACCCATCTGCTGCCCAGGTCAATCAGCAGAGCTATCCTCCCAAAATGCCTTCAACTCCAACTCAGTTTGAGTTTGTCATTTTTTCTCTCTCTGGGCAAATAGGCACGCTTCCAGTAGAACAGGATGTGCAGTCCCCTTCCGTGCGTTTTTTCCAAAGAAAAAGCAATCTAAAAATAAAAATTCACATGGGGCCGAGAACCAGATGGACAATAGAAAGCTTCTGGGTGAAAAAGGGCACCTGTGGGAAACATATTGGAAATTCCAGGTTTGAATGAAACACATTATGTCAGCGTTTCTCAACCTTGGACACTTTCAAATGTGTGGATTTCAACTCCCAGAATTCTTTTGCTGGCTAAGGAATTCTGGGAGTTGAGGTCTGCCCATCTTAAAGTTGTTGAAGTTGAGAAAGGCTGGTCTAGCTATTGAATGGGGATCGCAGGTGACAAAAAATGCCAGTGGGCATGTCCAATTCTAGGTGAGTGTGCCGCGTGCTACCTGCATGACAGCTACAGAAGATCAGTCTCACCTAAAATTCTGGGAGCAGAAGTCCCACCTCTGAAAGTTGCCAAGGTTGAGGAAAACCGCATTAATCTATCATTTAAACGTTGGAATAAATGCTCTGAAAAGCCTGGATGAAATAGAGCAGCGGTTCTCAACCTATGGGTCGCGACCCCATTTGGGGTCGATCGACCATTTCACGGGGGTCGCCAAGCAAGGCTGTCCGCCATTTTTTCCCCCCTTTTCTGGCGGGTGCCTTACCTCCCTTGAGCTGGGCCAGCTGGTGGTCGGCCTGCTCCGTCTCTGCCGCTTGCCAGCTACGCCTCGGCCGGCGCAAGGGGCGGAACCACGCATGCGCGGCGCTCCCGGGCAGGGAAAGTCCTCGACTTACGACCGGTTTAGTCCTCGACTTACGACTGGTTTAGTCCTCGACGTACGACCGGTTGGGGGTCGCGGCATTAAAAAGGTTGAGAACCACTGAAATAGAGCAAGGTTAGGGCTTTAGTTGAATCGTGTTGGTTGGTAGATGGTTAAAAGTGTGCTGTTTAATCCCAGCGATTATATTTCTTTGTAATCTTTGTGCATTCAGAGAGAATTCTCTCTGGCTAGAAACCATAACAGATGGAGGGTGAGTGCGTAGCGTGCCACCTGCATTAAAGGTACAGAACATTAGTCCTGCCTAAAAGGTCCATGCTCATTTGTGGCCTTATAAAACATATAAAACCAGTGCACAAAAATTCTCTCATTAGCCCCCTCCCCTCAAAATCAGGCATCTAATGGAGTCATCCCTGGCTTAAAAAAAGATACTATTAAGGCACAAGCTTTTGTGAGCTTCCGCTCAGATGCACCGAAAAGCTAGACTGTCAGGGGATTTAAATTGAGAAGGAGGGAGGGAGGGGTAGACAGATTGATTGTGTGAATGCAGATTGCATGTGAGACATTAAGAATTGTGATGTGTTTTTTTAAAAAAAACCTTGTATTTGTTAAGAACTTTTGAGAGAGCAGAATGTATTTTGATGGATGTGGGTGTGTTGATTGATTGGTTTTATTTATATCCCGCTTTTATTCTTTTCACAAATAACTCACGTCCAACATACCTGCGTCCTGTTTACCCACAGCAACAACCCTGTGAGGTGGGTTGGGCTGGGAGAGAGTGACCGGCCCAAAGTCACCCAGTTGGTTTTCACATTCAAGACTAGAACTCACATTCTCCTGGTGATCGGCCCAAAGTCACCCAGCCAAATGTCATGGCTTAAGGCAGGACTTGAACTCACAGTCTCTTGCTTACTAGCCTGGTGCCTTAACCACTAGACCAGGGGTAGGCAATCTTGGCTCTTTTATGACTCGTGGACTTCAACTCCCAGAATTCCTGAGCCAGCCATGGCGCAGCATGGAAACCTCTCCCTTTCCCCTCAGCATGGCTGGCTCAGGAATTCTGGGAGTTGGAGTCCACACATCTTACAGTTGTTGAGGTGGAGAAACAATGGACTAGGCCAGGGGTAGGCCACCTTGGCTCTTTTATGACTCGTGGACTTCAACTCCCAGAATTCTTGAGCCAGCATGGCTCAGCTTGGAAACCTCTCCCTTTCCCCTCAGCGTGGCTGGCTCAGGAATTCTGGGAGTTGAAGTCCACAAGTCATAAAAGAGCCAAGGTTGCCTACCCCTGCACTAGACCAAACAATCGCATTGCTTAATATGATACTCTGACATTACAATTGTTAGCGGACAAAGTACCCAGTTTAAATCCAACCTTGGTTTAGCCACTCCGTGCCTCTGAGGGAGGGAGTTGCATCACCTGAAAGCTGTTGCTTTTGGATAAAATGTATTGGTCAGGAAAAGTGTACCAGATTCCCACGTTTCGGCTATCCTGGACCAGCACCACTCTCTTTCTACAATGCCTCCAACAGTCACGAGGCCCCAGAAGCACACTTCTTGGCATGTCATTTCAATTTGATGAGCACTTTTGCCTTCAATTTAGAGCAGGGGTGTCCAACCTTGGCAACTTTAAAACTTGTGGACTTCAACTCCCAGAATTCCCCAGCCAGCCATGAACGAGTGGTCCTTAACTGAGGACCACCTCTACTACAGTGGAGACTGTTCAGGACTTGCACTTGTCTTACAGAAATTTGGCTCCCTGGATACGGGTAGCCCTTGACTTACAACTGTCATTTAGTGACCATTCAAAGTTACAACAGCACTGGGGGGGGAAAAGCGATCGTTACCGGGTTTTTTTTACACTTGTGACCATGATCACAGGACCATAATTTGGATGCTTGACAACTGACTCATCGTCACGAAGATTTCCCTTAGCCACTCTGTTATTTAACAGTTGCAACGATTCACTTTAACAACTAGGGTGAGAAAGGTCGTAAAATGGGACAAAAGCTGTTAACAACATTCTTGCTTAGCAACAAAAAATTTGGGCTCAGTTGTGGTCGTAAGTTGAGGACTACCTGCAATTTGTTAGCCTATGGCAGGGGTAGGCAACCTTGGCTCTTTTAGGACCGGTGGACTTCAACTCCCAGAATTCCTGAGCCAGCCACGCTGAGGGGAAAGGGAGAGGTTTCCAAGCTGCGCCATGGCTGGCTCAGGAATTCTGGGAGTTGGAGTCCACACATCTTAAAGTTGTTGAGGTGGAAAAACAATGGACTAGGGTAGGGGTAGGCAACCTTGGCTCTTTTATGACTCGTGGACTTCAACTCCTAGAATTCCTGAGCCAGCATGGGGGAACTATGGCCCCCTCATGACTCGTGGACTTCAACTCCCAGAATTCCTGAGCCAGCATGGCTCAGCTTGGAAACCTCTCCCTTTCCCCTCAGCATGGCTGGCTCAGGAATTCTGGGAGTTGAAGTCCACCAGTCATAAAAGAGCCAAGGTTGCCTACCCCTGGCCTA